ACCATAGTCGTGACTACTGGTGAGGTGGTGCCCCCTATTTTCGAACGCTCTGCCCATCCCCGGATCCCTGTCTCTGCTCCCTCCGCTTCTGTTGCGAAGCCCGCTCCTATTACAGAGGCTGCTGCTGATGCTGCTGCCTTGGGTGGGCGTGGCAGGCGCTAGGGGGGTCGTGGTAGTGGAAGAGGTGGAGGTGCTAGCATGCCTTCTTAAGAAATAACTAGCTTAGGAAGGTACGGAGAATGGTGATTGATGACTAGAGTATGGAGGGGGGGTACCAAGAAGAGTATGGAGAGGTTCGGTGTCCCCCCTAAGATGCGCCCCACTACAAAATATGTAAAACTACAAACATAGTTTGACACACTCCCATAGGCTAAGTGGGGGCCACCACAAGACCTGTCCAGAGACGCAACAACACAAATCACAGGGTGGATCACGAAGTCACCACATAGTTTGAGCACAAGCAAGATGCCACAAGACCAGTTCAAGAGTTCACAAATATATGTATATATATATATATACATATACAAGCAGAGCAAGAAACAAGAGGTAAGACTACAGTAACCGAGGGCCTACCAAAAGGAGGCCTAACTGCAGACAAAACCTGTGGTGATCACCAGGCGGAAGGGCCTTGGTGAAGATGTCTGCAGTGTTGGCCGCTGAGACCACAAATTCCAAACGCACTTAACCACGTCGCTGCAACTCTCGCAGAAGGAAGTGTCTCACGTCGATGTGCTTCCCTCTGCTCTCCAGTCGAGGCACTCGAGACAGGAGGATCATGGCCTTGTTGTCAGCAAACAAGTCTGTGCAGAGCTTAGCCGCTCACCAAGGTCGGTGAGCAAGAAGGTCAACCACCGAAGCTCTTGCGCAGCGATGGCACCAGCGTAGATCTCGGCCCCAGAGCTAGACTGCGCCACAGACGATGACCAAGTAGACCTCCACGACACAACACCAGAGCCCAAGCTGAAGAAGTACCCCTGGGTATACCTCTGGGTCTCGACTTTGTCGGCGTAGTAAGAGTCGCAGTGACTGGTCAACACAACTTGCTGTCTCTCTCCAAGCACAAGCACCATGCCTAATGTAGCCCCATACCCTAACAGCTGCCGCCCAGTAGACAGGACGGTAACTCCTGGTCGCAACGAAGCGAGCAAGAAAAGGTGAGGTTTGGGCGAGTATATGCCATCAGGTACATGAGGTAGCCCACTAGCTCTGCGTAGGGACCACAAGACTGAAAGGGCTCGTTAGGAATAAGAGCGGTGATCCTGTGGTCAACGACAAGAGGAGAGGGCTGTGTGGTGGAGATCTGAAGCTCGAACTGCTGCAGGACCTACTGCACCATGTGTGATTGAGTAAGTGTGATGGTGCAAGCAGCTCTGTATCTGGTGATCTGCAAGCCAAGGTAGCGTCGCAGTTCACCAAGGTCAGTGCACGTGTGTCTCTTCTACAATTCAACCTTCACCTTAGCTAGAGCAGCCCTATCCACTGAAGCAAAGACCTAGTCGTTGACGTAGACGAGGACGTAAGGTGCGGGCCCAGAACGAACGAACAACGATGGGTTGGTGGTAGATGGTCCGAAACCAAGGTCAGCAAGTGCGGAGCAAAGAGTGTCGTGCCACTCACGAGGCGCCTGGTGGAGATCGTAGACTAGATGTCCCATGCTCCACTGGGTCCCAACTGGGAAAGTGCCAGTGACGCCAGGAGGAAGGCGCAGCCAGATCTCCTCGTGCAGGCGACCCTGGAGAAAGGCAGTGGAGAAGTCGAGGGAGTGCAGCTCGTAGTCTCGCTATGCTGCAATGTGAAGTAACGCCCGAAGAGTAGTCATCTTCAGGGTCGGGGCGAAGGTCTAGAAGAAGTCAATTTCCTCACGCTTACAAAAGCCCCTGGCCACGTAGCGCGCCTTGAAGACAGGCGGCAATCCATGCGGTTGCTTCACCTTGACTATGTTCGCCCTAGGCCGGGAACTGTGTCGATGTAAGTGCCTGTGGATCTAAAAGACGCCATCTTTGAGTACATGGCCGCTATCTACTGAGAGGCCCACGGCTCTGACACTGCCTCACGGTACGTGCGAGGAGTGTTAGAGACTAAGGACGGAGTCTATGAAGATTAAGGGCCGAAAGATCTCAAAATCGTCAACTATAATTCTGGGCAGAAACGTCGTCGTCACAAGAAACGTCGTCGACGAGAAACACACCGTTAGAATTCTCTCAAACTCGATTATGTTGTAGCCCTTCACCGTCGCTATGGTTCCCACTTTGATTCGTATCCAAATATGGAGTACAACTCGAGTTATGAATTTCGGCGCACTAGGGGGTATGCTGCCATAGAAACTTAACTCAATCACAATTATCTCACAAGTTCACAAAAGAAAGTTAGAGTAGCAAGAACCAGGTAGGAGGGAAGAGGAGGACAAGAAGGAAGACCCCCAAGGAGTCCCCAACCAAGGAAACCCCATACCATACAATTCCCCTCTCTATAGGCACCCCAACTTTGACATTTGTCACTTTCCCAACCCATGCCATCCACCTCACCCAACTTGGCCACACTTGTCAACCTGGTTTGGCTTCTCCCAACCACCTGGCATCATCTACAATGATGGAAACGAATTTCCCAACCCCAAATAGTCTATACCCCATATGGAGTCACTCCACAAATTCCCATGGTCACCGCACCACAACCAAAACTACGAACGATCATAACATTCTTGTTCTTGCTCCGATCGCTGCGATTCTCGGTTCGTCGGGAAGCACTCGAGTAGAGGAGTCACTTCAGATATCTGCTCTAGTCAAATTGTATTCACACACAATCAGAAAATCCAAACCACACCAAACACAGATTCTTGCACACACCACGCATGCAACGCACGAACATATGATGGGAGGCAGACAGACGTGAATGCAAATGATAACATCACATAACAAACTCCCCCTCTGGCTGTCAACCATCATCCCACAAGCCTCATCACATGCATGCATACTCAATGCACACTCATTCCAGCAAGTTTCATGCCCTTCCAATGCTCCTCCAACCCTCATCATAATGAATAATCATCTCCTTCAAACATTCCACTTCCAACATCTCCTCTTTGCTCAAATCTGTAGCACCCCTTTGCAGCCCTTCTCTCTCAACACTAAGCTCCAAAAACTCTCAATCCAGCCCCATAGCAGTTGGCTATCTCATCCTCATCACATTACTCAGTTACACTCCCAGCTGGCACCACACTTGGCTTGCCAAAGCTGGGATGAGTCAGCCTGTTAGGAGGGCGCACATCCCTCCTAGGACAGTCAGGCGGACGTTCGGCACGTAGTGGAGCACTTTCATGCTGCTGCTGCTGCTGCTGCTCCTCCACCTCAGGTTCTCCCCCATCCTCAGTCACCCTAGAGATCTCCTCCTCTAAGACAGTAACATCCACTTGCCTCGAGGGCCGCTGCACCTCATCGGCCTCAATGATCAGCGCTGTAGTAGGAAGCTTCTGATGCTGCTGTTTCCACTCCTTGTAGTACAAGGACTCAAGGAACTTCACATCCCTTGACACAGTCAGCTGTTGGCTGGTCAAGTCCCACAACAGCCAGCCCTTGTGGTCCATTGCAATCCCCAAGTGCACACCCCATCTCCCAGAAGCTTCCAACTTTCCTCTCTTCTCCTTAGGCACATGAAACACCACCATGCAGCCGTAGGCTCTTAGCATGTTGACTGCTGGTGCACTCCCGTACCACTTGGTGTAGGGGACCCACTACTTGTCCCCCATAGTCGCCAACACCCTGTTCTTCACAAGGGCGACCTGCCGCAGTGCAGTCACCCAAAGCGGATCCAGCAGCCCTGCACGCCCAAGGAGAGTGCGAGCACCTTCCTGCAAGGTCCGGTTGAACCGCCCAGCCACGCCGTTCTGCTAAGGGTTGTAGGGCACCGTGAGCTGATGCTGGATCCCCTTCTTCTTCAGCACCGCCTCAAAATCAGCGCCAGTAAATTCTCCCCCGTTGTCACTGCGGATCACCTTCACCTTGCTCGGTTTCCTCCAAGCCGGTGAGCTCGGCCATGAGGACCTTGCTGACGTAATCGTCGTAGACAATGTACACAATCGAGTGCAGGTACGCCAGCTCCATCTTGTTGCGCGACTTGCCGATGTATCGATTAGCACCGAGCACCTTAATCTCGCCCACCCACCCTAGACCGTCGCCCGAGTTGTCGTGGCGGATGCCATGACCCTTCCGTCCTTTCTCCTTCTCCTTCTCCTCCTTCTCCTTCTCCTTCTCCTTCTCCTTCTCCTTCTCCTTCTTCTTCTCCTCCTTATCCGCCGCCTTTTCCTTCTCCTTCTCCGCCGCCTTCTCCTTCCCTTTCTTCGCCAATGTACCCTCGCCAACCGACTTCTCCTCCTGATTCTCCTTTGCCTTCTCCCTCCCTGTCTCGGCCGACATCTCCTTCGTCACCGACGTCGCCCGTGTTTTCCTCTGAGAGCTCGCCCTTCCTTTCCCTATGTCAGCCTTCCCCTTCCGTTTCGACTCTCCCTCGTTGACAGCATCAGTGGTCGTCTTTGGCTCCGCTGAACCACCGGGGGGACTTGCCGAGGGCTCCACATGCGCCGTGTCCGAGATGGTCAGAGCAGGGGGGTGCCCGGGGCGTTTTACCGCTTCCAACAGGTTCTGGATGGCAGCGATGTTGTGGCCTTTTGACGCCTGTGCAGGGTCAACGGCTCCGCCGCCGGTGGCTAGCGCTTCCCTCACGCCCTTCTCCACCGCCGCATCGACAACAGCTGCACCGGGTGTGGGTGAAGCCACGTTTACCGACGTTGGCGTCGCGCTTGAGCCGGCTTCCGGCTGAGTCCGTGTTGGCGCTGCCGCACTACGTGCGCCCAACCGGGCGTGAAGGAATGCGGACTTTGGGTCCGTAGGAGGACGGGCGGCGACCAGAGGCGCGGTAGGTGGGGCACTTGACATTGTGGCGGCGACCTGCGGAGTGACCGAGCGACGTGCTGTTTTGGCGGGGGCGGCATCGACCAAGGGAGGCTGCTACACGTCCTTGCCATGGGCCTCCATGCAGTGGAGCATTTCCCTGTGCGCGTTCGCCGCTGCGGGAACCTTAGTGGCTGACGGACCATCGCGGTTAGCCGCAGCATCCTTCGCGCCGCCCTTGGCGACAGACGGGCCTGCTGGAGCTGGAGTAGCCGCAAGGGCCGGCCCATCGTTGTTGGCGGCTGACGGGCCGACTGGCGCGCTACTAGCCGCAGGGGGTTTACGGTGAATTGACGTGGTCCCCGCCACCCCAACAGATGGTCCCTTGATGGTTCTGGCGCCGCCATCAATCGCCGTTTGAGCGGTTGGGATCTCCTTGTCGCTCAAGCCTTTCCCGCCGCTCGCCAGACCATGGGGCTTCTCGGCGACCAGGGGCGAGGCTGTTGGTCCAGCGTCTTGAGCGACAACCTCGTCGGCATGGCCCCCATCTGCACTCCCGATTCCATCGCCCTTGCTGTGCGACCTTATCACCTTGGCCCCATTCTTCTTGAGCTGGTCGACCACGCTCGGACCTCGAGTCCGCGAGCCGCCTAGACCCACCGCTCTGACGCCGCGGCTCCCATCGGCTCCCTTACTCCGCTTCACGCTCCCTGCATCATCTCCGCCGCCCGCCCTTTTCTGGCCCTGCTTGTCGGCCTCCCTTCGTTGCGCGGGATCGGCGTCATTGGCCGATGGCGACGACCCACGCCGACCAGGCGCCACATTGCTGATCACCTCGGTCATGAGATTTAACCCGGACACAACAAATGACTGCTGGGTGGCCTCCGTTACTGCCTTCAACACGTCCGCCTTGAACGACTTCATAAGCTCATCCGGGAAGGCTGTTGTGGGCTGCGGCGGCGGCGGCACGGCGATGGTGCGAGTTACCGCGGCGGCAATGTTGGTCTGCACGGCGGCTAGGTTCTTTGAGATGTAGTCCTCCAAACCCAGCTTTGCATTGTCCACCACCGCTTCCACGTGGTTGGCCAAGGCGGTGACCGCTTTTGCGCGTTCAACTGCCATACTTCCCTCCGGACCGTCGATTTCCGCCAACCACGTCGACGCCTGTTCGGCGAAGGACTTCATCGCCTTCCACGATTCGTCCATGTGGTTGGTGATGTTGTCCGTGATGGTTGTCGACACGGCCGACGTCGTATCTAGCAGCCGTTTCGCCACATTATGGTCGGAGACGGCGACCTGGTCGACCAACGACTGGAGCTTGTCCAGGAGTCCACGTATCCCCAACGCAAACCTGTCCACCCGACCCCTTTCCTCTCCGTGCGCCTTCTTCAGATGAGCATTTTCTGCCGTCAACCGCCTGTTTTCCTGTCGCAGCTGCTCGACGACATCCAGCGGTGCCTGCCGACCAGATGCGGAGGAACCGGGATGACCGCGCGCCGCCTTCTTCTTCCTAGATCGCTCCCCCCCGGCCTTCCCTGTGGTGGTCTCGGTAGGCCCTTCCACGCCCGTCTGCTTCGTGGCCGCGGCGTTATCCCCTTCTCCAACGGCCTTGAGGTCGACAACTTCCTTCGCGTCGCCAACCACATCGCCGACCACGACCTTCTCACTCCCCCCGTGAGCCGCCTCCACGCCGACTTTCTCCTCGTCGGCATCCTCCCCTCCCTCGTTCACAACATCCACCGACCTCCCACCCGTTTCCGCCACTCCCTCTGCGTACTCCACCTCCATTTCCTCCAACTCCCACTCGACCTCTTCCTCCTGCTCCCCCTCTTGCTGCTTCTCCGCCTCCTCCACCTCGTCCTCCTCCTCCTCCGCCGAGCCCCCCTCCTCCTCCTCCTCCTCCTCCTCCTCCTCCTCCTCCTCCTCCTCCTCCTCCTCCTCCTCCTCCTGATCCTCGTGGTCCTCCTCTTCCTAATCCTCATTATCATCCTGATGGACGTCCTCGTCTTGGTGCTTCTCCACGGTCCCAGTCACCGCCCTTCCTGCCTCCTCATCTACCTTGTCGATGCCGCCTCCGGGCTCTCCGATCGAAGTCCCACGCGCATCATCGACGGTGTGGGCGACACCTACTGCTTGGGATGCCGAAGGGGCCTCCTTGCCGTCGTCGTCACAGGCGTCGGCAGCAACTCCGACATGGCCCGACCGTTTGAGAGCGGCGTGTTCCTTGACGAATGTTGTCATCCCATTCCGCAGCCCCTTCAACGACGAAACGTTGACCTTGTCCATGTTGGTCACACTACGACGGAGGGCGCCACTCAGAAGATCCATCCTCCTCACCACCCAGCACAACGCGCTCATTGCTAGCAGGCCGGCGTCCCCGTCCCGGACCGCGTCGGGCACTTTCTGCATACAACAGTTCAGAGCGCAAGGATGAGCACCACGTTCGGCAATCGCAGTGTGCAAGGATGACACACTATAGGACGGTAAATAGTTCGGAACTCACATCTCGAACGGGTTGATCGCAGTCGGCGAGCCTGTCCTCCACCTCTTCATCAGAAAGCTTCGCCCACTCCCACTTCCTACCATCGCGCCCAAGCTCGGCCAGGACCGCCGCCCGGAAAAACCTGAAGCAACATGGCACAGATTGTCGGTAAGCATGGTTTACGCTGCGCGGCAAAATTGCATGCGTCGTCGACTACACTATCGAGCTCACTTCAGCACGCGGATCACCTCGTCGCAATGCTACTGCTTCGCGGTCTGCGGGTCAATGTGCCGGATCGAGGTCCTGATCTTCTCCCCCCCGGCCTTCAACAAGTCGCCGGGGTACATGATGACAACGATGCTGCAATGTGCTCCTGGAAGCAGTGCGATGCTGCACAGGCAAGGCACGACGACGTCGTTAAGAACAGAGCACCGACATAGGATGCAACACACATCATGACGACTTCGAACCAGCTCACCTCGAAGTCAGGGGGATAACCGCTATGTCGGCGCCGAAAACCTTCGCAAAGCATGTGTGGTCCGCCCGACCCATCACCGCCCGAAGCCGGCCGAGTCCTATCGACCACAATCGCATATTGGCCGGCGCCGCGCGAGTCCATGCGTGCCTGCACGCATGCATGGGTATTAGAAGTGAGTGAGGAGGTGCACGACACGACGGTGGATACGTTGGTTTAGGAACCGCCAACTGACGGGGATGGCAATAGTACGACGGTGCACCACCCTCGCGACGTTGTAATCAATGGAGCTGACCAATGCGGGCCTAAACGCTGTGCCGACACCGACCTACGGTAGATAACCCTGAATCCTAAAGTCGGCGTCAACGTGAACTGAACTAAACCCTAAACTCGTAGCGCCGCCCTAGACGTGGGACAACCCTAACACTGACGCTGCGTCGACCAGCAAGGTATGTAGAGGTCGACGCCAACATCCCCATACGGAGAATCACTTGAGGCCGAATCCCAAGCAACAGACGTTGAACTCTAGCCTATGGTCTACGAGGACGGCGTAGTCGTGTTCCTCGAGCTTGGCAGTGAGTCCACTACCAAGGTCGAGATACAGAGGGAATTCCTGCGAAGTCGGCGCCGCTTCGCCGGCTTTCGGGTCGGCCTCCATGGCGGGGAAGGGAAGTGACTACAGACTAAGGGACGAGAATGTGGGAGTAAGGAAGGCGCAGAGATGGGAGAAATGTTGAAAGTGAAACGAGATGCCGAAAATGAGGAGCGATGCCTCCTTCCACCAAGGAAAGGGAGTCGGTGCCCGAGTGGCACAAGTGCTCCTTCGCCGCCGAGCCAGCACGTCGACTTCGCGTCCCCTGGCTTCGCTCGGCGAGGGGATGCAATTTTGCATGCACGCAATGCGACGTTTCGGCCGACATGTGTCGATTTCGCAGCGGATCGCGAAAACCCTGCGCCGCGATGCGAGCACGGGAATTTCACCGGGTTCGAAATTTCGCATGCACCCGATGCGAACCCGCGTGCGAACACGTGGCGTCACCGCAACGGGTCGCAAAATTGTCGAGCGTCTCGAGGGGAGAACCCAAATTTCGCATGGCCCTCGCCTGCCCGTCTGGGCAGGTCGCGAGGGTCACTAGGACGTCGCGGGCAGCAGGCACGGGAGGGCTGCCTTCGGGCGAGGGTTACTTTCCCTCGCGCGAGGGCTCGCCAGCTCGCCGCCCCCACCCGGTAACGTGGGGCGCTGTTCAATCACGCAGGGGGGTTGCAGGGCGGCGGTCGTGCGCTCAGCCCAGCCCTGGGCCAGGCTGGCGGGCCCGCACGCGCGTCAGTTGCCCGCCTCATAAGGCCCGGCTCCGACGACCCCTCTCGACGACACTGGCAAATCGGTTCTGACAACCGATTTGCGCTGGGTTGTTCGTGGGAGACAGGATTCTACTGGAATGGGCAGATCCGTTTATTGTTCTTCCCGAGCGTGCATTCATATGGCCCTCGACACGCAGCCTCGGCATTCCCGATGTCTTGGGATGTCGCGGGATGTCAAAAGTACTGCGGGCATGATAACGGGCAGAAAACGGGAATTTCAGCGAGTAGAAGCGACCACAGCAGATACGGGGCGCTTCTTTCACCGCAATCATCGATTCAGGGCACACCCACCCGGTTTTCCCATGTGCAATCGCACAACCGACAATAAGGAGGAACGCATGTGCCGATTGGCCGGCAATCGTCGATCTGCTGGATGATGATACTTTTGGACAAGCTTATCTCCTCCCCATTCAGATCACATGTGCGTCACACTGGCATAGCTAGTGCACTGGCGAGCGGGAATGTGAGGGAACGAATATGACCTCATTTGGAACTGTCAGGTTCAGTGTTGCAGCTCTGGTGCACTTGCTGTTGCTGGCTACGTTGCTGGTGACCCCATGGTCAGAGCTGACCGTGGCCCATGCGTGATAGTTGACCCCACCCCATTCACAGCGACATTCCCTCACATCAATTCACTGGCACACGAAGCTGCTGGTGGTGAGCCTGTGCTGTCGGTGACCGGCCTGATAGGCTACGAGAGAGGAAATTGACCACTCAGAGAGTGACATCTGCTCATCGGCACAAGGAGCTCCTGCTGGTGGGTCTATGAAACAGGGCTGCGCAGCGACGCATGGCGCGGCTGGCCTGGCCGGCCTAGCAAGTCTGGCGCCATAGCTAGAAAGAAAGAAGAGAGAGAGTCGCCATGCAGCGGAAGAAAGAGAAGCTAGTGTCAAACTTATATATGCTATAGTCTGTTTAGGCTGTAGTGGGGTAGTTCTTAGAGGGTACAACACTTTTGTGTTTTCTACTTGTACCCATCTGCTTCCTAGTTCATTCAATTCCTCTCATTATTCTCACAAGGTATAGAGCAGGTTCCCTAGTGGAACTGTGTTTTAGGGCCCACCACTACGAATTTTTTTTTTCCTTACCTGCCCGAAGCGCGTTTCGCGTTTGTCCTAGCAGCGCCCCGTGCGCCTGCCCTTCGCGGCCCCTCGCGGCCTTCGCGGCCCCTTAGCGGCCCTTTGCGGCCCCCTTCGCGGCCCTTCGCGGCCCCTTTCGCGGCCCTTCGCGGCCCCTCGCGGCCCTTCACGGCCCCTTAACGGCCCTTCGCGGCCCTTCGCGGCCCCCTTTAGCGGCCCTTCGCGGCCCCTCGCTGCCCTTCGCGGCCCCTTACGCGGCCCTTCGAGGCCCCTTCGCGGCCCTTCGCGGCCCTTAGCGGCCCTTCGTGGCCCCCTCACGGCCCTTCGCGGCCCTCTTCGGCGGCTCTTCGCGGCCCCTTCCGGCCCCTGCTGACGCGCCCCTGCTGGCGCGCCCCCGCTGACGCGCCCCTGCTGGCGTGCCCCTCTGCTGGCCCCTGCTGACGCGCCCCTACTGGCGCGCCCCTGCCAGAGTCTGCTGACGAGCCCCTGCCAGCCCCTCCTAACGAGTCCCTGCCGGCCCCTGCTGGCGCGGCCCCCGCTGGCGCGCCTCTGCCGGCCCCTGCTGACGCGCCCCTGCTGGCGCGCCCCTGCCGGCCCCTGCTAACGCGCCTCTGCCTGGCCCCTACTGGCGCGGCCACTACAGTCCCGGCCCGCCCCTGCACCCGTCTCTGGTAAGCCGAGCCGCGCCACCCAGCCGAGCCGCGCCGCCCAGCCCAGCCGCGCCGCCCAGCCGAGCCGCGCCGCTCAGCCGAGCCGCGCCGCCCCCCACCGAACCGCACTGCCCTACCGAGCAGCACTGCCTTGCACTGCCCTGATGCTATTGTTTCTACTGCTGCTACTGCTGCTACTGCTGCTACTCTTGCTACTGCTCCTACTGCTGCTATGGCTAGTCCTACCGTTCTCACCTTTGATGCTGAGGGACGTGCAGTTGACTTTGACGTGTGGGTTGACGACCTACAGCTCTTTCTTCAGTGTGATTCTAGGGATGGGGTATCCCTTTTCGATCACACGTCCGGTGTTTCCACTGCTCCTACTGCCACTGCTGACAGTACTGTTCGCTCGCAGTGGACCACTCGTGACGCTGTTGCTCGTCTTGCTGTTCGTAGTCACCTGCCACCTGCTGAGCGCGCATACTTTGGCCAGTACAAGATTGCTCAGTCTTTGTACGACGCTGTAGTTGCACGCTACTCCTCCCCTGCCACTGCTGCCCTCAGCCACCTCATGCTGCCGTACCTTTTCCCTGACCTTGCCGCCTTTGCCACAGTTGCTGACCTAGTTGCTCACCTTCGCACTAGTGACGCCCGCTACCGCGTTGCCCTTCCCACTGAGTTCTGTTCCAAGAACCCCCCCCCCATGTACATCACCCTTTACTACCTAGTCACCTGCCTCCCTGACTCCCTCTCTTTAGTCAGGGACCACTTTCTCTCCCTTTGCCCCACCGAGCTGACTGTCGACCTGCTAGAGGAGCGCCTTGCTGCAGCTGAGAAGAGTATCTTAGCTGTAGGTGCTTCTCGCGGCGACCGTCGCACCCCCTTCTTTGAGGGGTGTTCCCCTGTCCCCCTTCTCCCCTCTGTGGCTTCTGCTGCTGCTGTCGACCTCGTTGGCACTGAGGAGGTCCGAGCTGCGTCTGCCCCTAGTGGGAGACGCCACAACAGCAGGGGCAAGGGGAGCAAGGGTGGTGGAGGGGGCGGCGGGGGAAGCAGTGGAGGAGGTGGAGGAGGCGGAGGAGGTGGCGGTGGAGGTGGGGGTGTTACTGGGAGTGGGGGCGTCAGTGGCGGCGGTGGAGGTAGTGGCGGCGGTGGCGGAGGTGGTGGAGGCAGCGGCAGTGGTGGTGGAGGTGGCGGTGGCGGTGGTGCTGGTCGAGGTGCAGCCGCGCAGCGTGGAGGCTTTGGTGGCAGCCAGCGCCAGCAGCAGCTGCGCTCCCGTGAGACCCCGTCGGTCCAGCAGCTTCGTGAGTGGTACGCTGGGCGTGGGAGGTCTGGGGGTGCTGGTCCCTGCACTTACGTTCTTC